TCTCTCTCTCTCTCTCTCTCTCTCTCTCTCTCTCTCTCTCTCTCTCTCTCACACACACACACACACACACACACACACACACACACACACACATATCGCTCTAAGCAAGAAAATTGTAAGCTATAACTAAAAAACGCCGTGAAAAGTGTCAGGTCAAAGAGACTTGAGTTCATCCTGGGACCTGGGCTGAGCCGACTGGCACAGCGCTGCACAACAGTGCTGCCTCTGAGGTGAGAAAGGACACTGTCCAAGAATAACTGATGGATTTTCATGGGGTCATAAGTAGAGCACTCTAAAGACCCCAGTAGGGAGAGAGACAGCAGACCTCAAGTTTATATAGCTGTTTTACTCCTTATTAAGCCTTTAGTTTTTTCCTGTGAGGCTAGATATAAAAAAATTTAGTAGAAAATGGGTTTATTCGTTTAAATAGAAAAACAGGAGGGTGTGTCGGAGAATGGCTCAGGGAATGGTAAAGTGCTTGCTGTACAAGCACGAGAATCCAAGTCAGATCTGCAGCAGTTGTGGAAAAAAGGCCTTTGGCTCTTGCTTGTAACCCCAGTGATTGTGGATGAGGGATATAGGCTGAATGGTGAGCTCCAGAGATCTTGTCTCAGAATATGACCTTTGCTCTTCAAACTCTGATTAGCTGAAGCTTGTATTTCAGAAATGAAAAGAATTTCAGGTAGATTATTCATGTAATAAAATTTAGATACTTTAGTGTGCATAAAGGCTTTCCCTTCCAAACTTATAAAGAACATAAAGGCCAATTGTATCCTTACGATTTTAACATTCAGAAATTGTGTTTATCAGGAATATCAAGTACAATCCAGGAACCTTTATTTCAGTCCTTTTGTAGCATAAAAAAAGGTATTAAAACTGGAAGGCGCGACTGGTTTCATAATTTAATCCTTCCATTTATTTAGCCAGCTCTAGAGCTGCTTGAAAATCACTTGATCCCCCTCTCTTAGAGTTCATGTTGAAAATGAAAAATTCTGAACTGTCTCCCTGTTAAATTTTTAACCTTCTCCCAGGGTCTTTACAGTCACACGGGTTGGAATTTGCACCTCTCTGGTATTAGCCAAGCTAGGTGTCAGGTCTCAAGCTCACTCATCGGGATCCTGCGGATGTTGTAAAGCGGTGAGGAAGCAGCAGATGTGTGGCTTTCACTCTGTTATTTTCTTTGCTCTTAGTCCACCATATACAGAAAGATCCTTCCTCTACAGGTATTTATATGAAGACTGTGTTCCAGGATGTCATGGGTGAGAAGGCCAGGCAGCCTGCCCTGGAGTTCATAATCCAGTCTGGAATACCATTTAGAGTAACACAGTTTCCACCAGGAAATAATGGTGAGTTCTGTTCAGAGAGGCACGGAAGAAGGGGGACAGTGTTCTCGTCCTTGTTACCAAACCTCAGAGTCTCGGGGACTCCAGCATAAAATATTTTTATGTTAGGATTAACGGGAGAGGAGAGGTTGCACTGTGGGTTTTCCTGTATCTTATCCATGACTGAGATACGGAAAGTGACATTTAAATGCTGCCTCTGGATGAAGACGCTAAAGATCGGAGGAGGTGTACAGTAAAGACCTGATTTTGTTCCAAGTTGTCTGTCATTTAAGAATACTTGTAATAAGTTAGTAACCCTGTTTCAGGGGACAAAGTTCACCATAGTCCTTGGTTTCTGGGTCTTCCACATTACTAGTTATGGGTGTGGTCACTTCTCTTCTACAGTTTTTCCTGATATACGTTTCCCCTGTACTCTTTCTTTCATCTTCCATAAGCAAATCTTTCTACAACATGAGTACTTTTCTTGCTTGCGGTCCTGTAAACTTCATGTTTGGCTATGTGTTCCTGTATTTTTTTCACTTACACAAATAGGATCGTTATCCCATTTTTGAGCTTGATTTTGATAGGGCATTTTGTTTTGAACATGCATATGTTCATGTCCTTGGCTTCTGGTGTGTCTCTTCCACATGTCCCATTTACTGAAACTGCTGAAGACAGATATTCAGGAAGCCTCTATCCCCATCCCATCATCATGTGAACACCCTTATCAGTTCCTTGTAGTGCTGAAATTCCTTGTGGATGCTGCCCAAGAAGAGAGCTGTTGGGGGGACTGGCTGACCTAGTGTTACTTGCTCAGTACTTCTCCAATTCTGCTCTGTTCTCTTGCAACTTCTGTTATGTCCGAGGTGCCTCTGCACACTTCTGCCAGCCTTATATTATCTTGCTTTGCCTTCTTTGCTACTTGAACAGATTTAAAATGGTAACTTGTGGCTTCAATTTCTTGTCTGATAAGGTTTTTGTGTTGTCTGCTGTTTTCCGGGTTTCTTCTTGTTGAACTTCCTGTTTGTATCTTTGGAGGTGACAGTGTGGCCTGTTCATTTGTACTAACCAGTTATTTCTATGTGTTTTTTTAAAATCAGTTTTAGATATTACAAACATGGTTTTATTATACAGTTACTGACAGTTTGTTTGTAAAGTCAGGGTGCCTTGAATTCCTTCTCTTCCTCCAGTCCCTGCCTGGTGCTCAGGTTCTAGGACTGTGCCAGCATGCCTGCTTGGACAGAAATTCTTAATATAAACATTGTGATAATTTTGCCTCGTGGTTTATGTTCTTAAAATTTTGTTTCAAAAGAAAGTTTTCCTTTTCCAAGTGCTGCTTGGTCTTCATTTTCTTCTGTTAATGGTGATTATATTAATTTTTATTCATCTTGAATTCTTTAAATGTCTTGTTTGGTATGCATCTTAATTTATTTTGGCCCATTACTACACACGAAACAATTTTATTCCACCTTGCTTTGTGATACTGTCTTTATTATAAATTAAGTTCCCATATACCCAGGCTTTGAATTTTATTCTCTTGCATTGTTGATTCTTCTTCATTTTCCCATACATCCTGAAGCTTGTTTCTCTGCAGCCATTGAAGACCTAGTGTCCTCTTAATCACAGAGACTTCTCCTTGAATATTGTATCTGGAACAGTTCAGACATTTCCACCCAAGTCCGCCTCCTCTGAACTCACAACGCTTATTTCCCATCACGTTCACTACTCTTGAAAATTTTTATTTTTATTCATTTCCTGTGTTACTACATAGCTCTTCCCATGTTTATATCTTGTATTTCAACTGGATTATAAACTCTGAACAGGCACGGGATTGCTTGCATGTCTTTGACTCTGTCTTGGTAAGTTCAGCTAATAGGGCACCTAAGGTTATCATAACCATGATGTAGTGAGCATTTAATAGGCTCTTCATTGCACTTTCAGTCTGATGAACACATGCCTTTTTAACATAATTGATTGTAAGCATATGAGGATAAATGCTGTTTAGGAAGGAGACACAAACAGCTTCCATATGTAATGTTTGAGCATTCTTTCTCCAGTAGGATTTTTCCGTTTAATTTTTAAACTTCCTGTTACACTTGACTTTCTCCGTATTTTAAAAAAGAAAGCTTAAATTTACCAATTCTCTTTATCTTTCTTCCTTTAGTTTTAGTAATTGCATTTTATTTAAGGTTCCTTAATGAACTGTGTGAAAAACTATGTACTCAATCAGTCATGTGCAGGAAAAAGCAATACATTATAATTAGGATCCATTACCATTTAATTAGGCATTCCATTATTGAATTAGTGCCTGTAGCTTTTCCTGGTCTCTGACTAATCCTGAAACAAATTCCTTTTCTGTGGACAAATATTAGCTTGTAATAATTAGAGTATTCACCAAAGTAAGGCTTTTCATTAAATCTCTTTTTGATTAAGATAGTTCCTCAAATACAGACTGATTTAATTTAATATGATCTATCCACTTATGTATCAAAGTGTGGGGAAAATTGTTAACACCAGAGGACTGGGCATATTGAGATTATCTTTATATTCACAGCTCTCTGGGATATTTAAGATTTTGTTGTAGTAGTTATGCAAGTCTAGGTATAATGTCACACTGCTAATTTGAGAGTACCATAATTGGTAGAACAGGCTACCATTGAATATAACATGCTGATCCTGTTCTATAATGTGTTGGAGCATAAAGTCATTACATACGTGTGTTCCTTGGGTTTGAGAGCTGATTTCCATTCCAACTAGGTGGTTCTATACATTTAGCGTGCATCTTTTGTACCCCAAGTTCAGTCTAACTATAGCTCTATACCCTGAATTAAGGGTCTCTGTGGATATGACTATGTCTTGGTGTGGGGTTTGGTTAAACACTCTACCGCTAAGCAGTGTTCCAGCCTTTTCTTTAAGGCTGCTTAACTTAATCATCATTGCTTCCTTGCCCTGTCTACACTGCCTTTCTTCTCTCTGTACTGACTGTTAAGTAGATGTTAAATTTAATTGGTGGGATCTTTTAATTTCTGCCTTCATCATCTTCCCCGGTTTGTTTAGTCCTGGTCTCATCACCTGCTCTTAAGCTTTAAGCCTTTTCTTCTGACCTCTGTTCCAGCCTTCTTTTTGTTCTTGGTTCTTTTAGTTCTAACTCGTTTCCCTTATATGTAAATGAGAGTTTGCATTGCTGCCTGTGTGTGAATTAGGGATAAACTTAAGTAAACTAATAATATGAGGTCAAAACATATGTACTGATTTATTGCAGGGGGAAAGTCCAGAAAATGTTGTACCAAGCTCCTGCTTCAGGAAGTCTCGGGGCTAGAATGAGAGTGGGTAGTTGTATATGTGGGAGAGGGGTGCACATACCTGTGCCATCCCTTCAACAGAGGGAGCAAGGGAATGCAGGAGCGGGGAAGCAGAGGCACCCTGGCATGCTTGTACCTTCTCAGACTCCATTTCTAGCTGCACCCCTTAGTTAAGAGGTTCTGACTCTTCCTCTCTCCCATGTTCTCCGCCCTGTAGGAGCTGTTCTCTGAAAGCTGCCATGTTAGGAATTCAAGTCAAAAGGCCAAAGAGTCGACCAAGAAAGAAGGGGCTTCCATGAGTCCAGGAGGCTGAGGGAGCACAGGCCGGGTTAGGATTCTTCATAGGCCTGGTGAAGTTTTAGGAGCTGGAAGCTGCCCAACAGCCAGGAGTCTACCTTGGCTGGGTCAGTAGAGGAGGCAGTTGACAAACTACATAATAGAGACCTGATAGGAGGGTCTCTAACTCAGGAGAAAGATCAGAGACAGAATAATTGCTGTCATGTGTAAGGCAGCAATTACAGCACTCAGAAGTGTTTGCCCTGATTAAAATGCTCTGTGAGAATATTTTCCTACCTAATGTGTGTGTTGTGTGTGTGTGTGGGGGTGTCTTATAGATAGAAAGGGGAAAAATAGCACAGTAGAGAGTGAAAAATGCTGTAAGGAGTTAATGATTCTATTTAAAGACATTTGGGGGAATTAATTAGGAAACAAATGCTCCTATGATAGTATCTGAATAGAGAGGCTGCTTTCCAGAATATTTAATAAGCTGCTTTTGTTAGCAGAGAGAACTGATGCACAAAACACAGGGGATTGTATTCTAAAATTTCAGAAAGTAATTCCATCTTAAAAATAGCATTATATGCTTAGCGTTGTCAAACACATGGCTAAGAAAGTCCTCATTCAGGGGATAGAGAAGACAGAAGGACCCGTCAAACTCACTTGGCTCTTTAGACTTGCAGGGCTTCAGGGACCCTGTGGACACTGTGATACTTTCAGTTAGCTCCTGTGACTGACTGCTGATATGATACTTGTGACCTTGACTTTCCACTACATTATGTGAAATCTTATCAATAGACATCAGTGGGCAGCCTTGAAGAACACCAACACCTACAGAGCAACGTAGCAGTGGTTGCACAGATAGGGGAACAAGAGAAACACAGACTCCTAGTGGCTTCTCTCTTCTGGTTTAGAGGATGGTTAGTCACGGTTACTCTCCAGGTAGTCTCATTTGTGTTCCTTCCATTGCAGGCTGTTAGAGAAGACTGCTCTTAGGCTGTCTCTCAAGCAGAAGTATCTCAGAGAGCCTCAGCTCATTTTACCTGCATCTGCCTACTGGAATGCTGATTCCATAAACATATTTACTGAAATCACTGGGAAATTTCTGTCATTGTTTGCTTATATTTATCAGAAGAAAAAGGGACAATAAGTAATATCTATAGTATATCAGATGATTGTATGTGCTACGAATTTAGGGAACCTGCTGTTTTCAGTAGAGTGGGGCCAAGGCCTCCCTGATAGAACAGGCAGTAGAACAAAGACCATGGATGGAGCCGAGCAAGACAATTAGTAGGGAATGGAAACGAGCGATGAAAGCTCACAGACAGCACAGGGCTTCAGAGGCCTGGGAGCCTTCTGAGTGAGGTGGTAGCAACTAGGCAGAGAGTCAAAGGAAATTATAATGTGTGACTGCTAACATTCTGGAAGGGTTACTCTAGCTGTTGC